AATCAATCTGACCTAATATAATGTCTAGAACTCAAAATGTTTTTAAAAATAAAATAAAGTTTTATATTAAAGTATAACACTACCTCAAAGACTTAGATCATTAATATTCTTTTATTTCTATCCTCACCCAAGGACATTTTTTCATTGCTTTTTAGAGAAAGGAAGGGAGAGAAACATCAACGTGAGAGCAATATCAACTGGTTGCCTCCTCCACATGCCCAGACCCAGGACTGAACCCACAACCTAGGTACCTGCCCTGATGGCAACCTTTTGGTTAACAGAGATGACACTCCAACTAACTCAGCCACCCAGGCCAGGAATGTCATTATATTCTTTACATAATATTTGAAAACCATTTAACTATCCAATCAGGAGAAAAATGGTCAATTATGGTGCAGGCAAATGGTGGTAGAGTATTAAAAAGTATAGTTTCCAAAGAATATTTAAAAGAGCAAAGAAATGCTCATGATATGACGTTAAGTGGAAAAGGATACTGTACACACACCATTTGTTTTCTTCTTAAAAATTATGTGCATATATATCATGGATGCTCAAGCACAGAAAAGACACTGTAAGAAATCATCATTTTAAAGGTGGTTATTCCTGATACTAAGAATTTAGATAATTTTTTCCTTTTACTCATGTGTATGTATTTTCCAAGTTTCCACAATGAACATGTATTTATTTATTTATTTTAAAGATTTTATTTGTTTGTTTTTGAGAGAAGGGAAGGAAGGGAGAAAGGGAGAAAAACATCAATGTGTGAAAGAAACATCAATCAATTGCCTCTCGCACACGCCCCAACTGGGGACTGGCTCTCAACCCAGGCATGTCCCCGACTAGGAAACAAACTGGTGATCTTTTACTTTGCTCAACCAACTGAGCCACACTGGTCAGGGCTGTATTCTTTTATTAAAAACAACAACAACAAAAACAACTTAAAACTTGCAATGCTACCGATTAAGGAAGCAAGAGTTTGACCACACTATCACCACAGGAGGCATTACCATTTCTTTTTCCAATTTTGTCTAATCTAGGAGTAAGATGGCATCTGAGGTCTTATAAAAGTCACTTTATAAATAGGGAAAAAGATAGTATTAACAATCTTTCTGGTTCTTTAGTAGTTGATTACATCTGACCTCTACAGCCCTGCATAAGTCCCTTCAGCTGGAAGCTCACAAGGGTAAGCAACAAACATAATATTTGGCTTCTGCTCAAACACTGGGATATGGTCACCTAAAACAAATTAAGGACCCTTAAATCTCCTGGTGGGAGGGAACAAATATTCAAGATTCCCAATTTTACAGACAAACAAATTAAAAAGGTACACTCTGATTAAAATAAATAATGGGAAAACGAAACCCTATAGATCTGGGCAGTCCAATACAGAAACCACCAGCCACATATGGTTAAACTTAAATTGTTAAAACTAAATAAAAGTAAAGCTCCAATTCCTAGTCATACTAGCCACAATTCAAGTGCTCAACAGCCATCCATGGATAAGAGCTACTGAACTGGACAGTGTAAGTACAAAACATCACTAACATAGCAAAAGTTCTGTTTAAACAGATGTTGCTGAATACACAGGTTGGGTTATGGGGGGACACCCATCTCACTATGTATGTAAACAAAATTTGTAATTAAATGAAGAATGTTTATAAAATGGTATAAAAACCTGAAGAAATGGGAGCTCATTTCTCTTTTGGTCAAATCTGTGAAAGAAAGATTATATCTATAACTTACATCCGCTTTTGCTTTAACACCCGCAAGGCTTTCTGCTTGACCATATTCTGAGGAGAAAAACAGATTTCAATGAAAAGAATTAGAAAACATACATATGGTGAAAGAAATCTCCCATATCCCAAAATGTATGTATCTACATACTCTCTTCTTCCAAGCAGCAAATATAGTAGCTCCTGGATTGTTCCTTACCTCCCCAGCACAGTCTTTAAGCCTCAGCTCATCTCTGCCTTTGCATCCCACATCTCAGTGTATGAACTGCCTGCCTTTTTCCTGGAGCATATTAGTTCCACCCCCAGCTCCAACAGTGCTGATTTTTGATATCCATTTGCCTTAGGAGATTCCCAACTTGGACATCCTGCTATCCACTCAAACTCAACATGTACTAACTCCTCAACCTTCCCTCTCCTTAGAAATTACTAACAACAGTCCCACCAATCTCTCAGGTCGAGAACCTTTATATCATTCTTACCTTTCCTCTCTCTGTTGTCTCTTCGTGACCACTCATCTTATTACTGATTTCAGAACTCACTTTTGTATGGATTCATGTCATTCTCATGACTAGCCCCCATGGTTTAGGCTTTCATCTCAAGTCTAGAGGACCTTTCTTGCCTCTGGTCACTCTTCATTCCATGTCATCAACTAAGATGGCTGAGAAAAGCCCCTTGTCCACTTTCCTTTCTATACTGCTTCATAAATTATTTTATTGTCTCCTTCATTGAAGAAGTAAAAGCAGATATTACTTCACAGACAATAATAATACCAAACAGCCCTGGCTGGCGTAGCTCAGTGGATTGAGCGCGGGCTGCAAACCAAAGCATTGCAGGTTCGATTCCTAGTCAGGGCACATGCCTGGGTTGCAGGCCACAGCCCCCAGCAACCACACATTGATGTTTCTCTCTCTCTCTTTCTCTCTCCCTTCCCTCTCTAAATAAATAAATAAATAAATAAACAAACAAAACCAAACATTTACTGAATGTTTCTATGTACTAGACACAGTATTATAAAGGTCACATGAATTACCTCATTTAATCCTCACACTATAATACAGATATTATCCCCATTTTGATGGGAAAACTGAGGTTCAGTGATGCTAAGTAACTTCCCTAGCTCAAATGGTTAATAAGTTATAAAGATGGAAGCAAAGAAGGTAGTTTCATATCCACAGTCCATGCATTTTAATACAATACTCTATGTTTCTACCCAACCAGAAAAGGAAAATAAGAAATTAAGTGACTTTATCAAGGCATAGCTAGTAGGTAGTGAAGGTGTTAATAGAACGCTGGTCTCCAGGCCCTAGCTGGGTAGTTCAGTTGGTTAGAGTGTCATCCCGAAACGCCAAGGTTGTGGATTCAATCCCTGGTCAGGGTACATACAAACATCAACTAATGAATGTATAAATAAGTGGAACAACAAATTGATGTCTCTCTCTTTCTCCCCCTTTCTCTTAGAAAATGTTTTTAATTAATTATAAATAAATAAATAGAACACTAGTCTCCAGATGCCTAACTCAGCGCTCTTTTTCCCAGTATGCCACTCCTTGATCAGTCTAGTATACCTATCCACTAACATGACCAGCCTGGCAACTCATTACTTCTGAACATGGCTCAGCCCTTCTCTCCAGATTGCTACTTTCTCAAAAGAATATGCTAATTCCCATACACATGCTTTTGAACATTTGATCAGTGTCTTCTCTCCAAAAGATCAAAATCAGTCTCCCTCTTATATCTGGCTACAAACTCCCTTCCCTGAAGGATACACCCTCATGTAGGTTTTCTCCTGCCCAGCTAATGCTGCCTTCTGTACCAGCACCTACTCTCACAGGTGCTTAAGTCAGGCTGTCACAGCAGCTGCTGACTACTTACCTTTGCAGGACCTTCTCTCATCTTCTTGATCTGATCCTTGTACTTCACTAGTTCAGCATCGAGTCGAGAAATCTTCTTGTCAATGGATTCTGCTCTGCTGTCCACCTGGAGGGGAAAAAAATCAAAGGCAGTTGTAGCTATATACTTACATAAGGGGCAGGAAAGGAAAAAATATGGAGGAAGAAAAATAAAGAGGATCACATCGTTAAGGGTGGAAAACTGTGGTTCCCAAAGTGAGGTGGGATTCCCATAGAAACACTGGGGGACTTTTATAAACTCTACTCCACCCCTCAGATTCTGATATTCCAGGATCTCCTTTAAGTACGTTTGGGCAGAAAAATAATTTGAGACTCACTAGGTTAAGCTGAAATTTCTCTAGAATCAGAAACCAGTCAGGCTGGGGACACAACCAAGAGGTATGTGAAACGAGTTAGTGTCCAGTGGACCCTGGCTATGTGGAGGATCAGGGTTGTGAATTTTGTTACTGAGATTTAGGATCCAGACACAGATTTGTTCGCCTAGGATATCAAGCTATGGGTCCTAAAGTGAGAGAAGGAAGAGGGATGAAAGAGGGGTAAGGGGTCTGTCTGGACAAGGTGGAAACAATATATGGGCCTACGGCTAGCTGGTTTAAAGGGATAAAGAAAGAGCGAGTGGGCGCGGCAGTGGGCATCAGAAGGGGTGGGGGGCCAGTTAGGGAAGACAGTGATGGGTCAGGGGTCTCTGGTTTGTGGCGTCAGGAATGACCTGAGTAGTAGAACGAAGGTGGAGTGAAAAGGGCCGAGGTGTAATGGACCCAGGACTAGAAATGGGGTGGAGGAGTAGGAGCCGGGAGCTGGGGTGGTAGGTGGGGTGAGGAGTTTCAGAGGCTCCTAGCCTAGTTATATGTGGTCAAGCGCGCACCGTGCCAATGCAGTCAGTCAGGCTGGGCGGCGGAGCCTTGGGTTTCGCTTTCCCGAAGATTCGGTTCATCTTGACCGGCCGCGAAGAAAACCCAAACACTGGAGCAAAGACCAGAAACGGAAGTAGAGAACCTCCGCCTCTGCCTTGACTTCCGGCTCCCAGTGCGCAAACGCAATGTGCCAATCGGAGTTTCCCGATCCTTTCTCCGGGTTTTCAGCTCGGCCTTCCGGGGAAAGAGAGCTCCAGGAGATTGGAGGCACTAGGTAGAGTCAGCGTGGGGTGTGGCCACGCTTGGCGATATGGGGGCGTGGCTTCAAACCAGCAAGGCGGGGCCTCATCTGAGTGGGTGGGACCCAGGGGCGGCTTCCCCGGTATTGGGCGGGGTGGAAGCCTTGCTCCGAGGGGCGTGGCGGGTAGGCTGGAGCTGGGAGAGACAGGGAAGTCACCCGTTGGGTTTGCAGGCGACGGTGTTCAGCTCCCACTGCTGGGTGAGCAACAAGTGCGGGTCTGGCGGAGCGCGGTGGCGCGCGGAGACCGAGAGGCGACCGGGAGCGGCTGGGCCCCCGGCGGCGCGCCCCTCGGCAGGGCCGAGAGTCGCGTCAGTCGGTGCCCCCGGCCGAGTGCGGTCCGCCTCCCTTTCAGCGGCCATCCGCCAGGAGCGCGGCCAGGGGGCATGTCAGATCCACCAGGGGCGCCGCCGCCGGCGCTCGCAGGCCGCGGGTGAAGAAAAAAGTGCGGCTTCACTCGGCCCAGAGCGAAGAGGTGGCTGGAAGCAAAGAGGTAGTCGGGAGCGAAGAGGTGGTCCAGAGCGAAGAGGTGGCCCCAAGCGAAGAGGTGGCCCCAAGCGAAGAGGTGGCCCCAGGCGAAGAGGTGGTCGGGAGCGAAGAGGTGACCGAGAGCAAAGAGGTGGCCTTAAGCGAAGAGGTGGCCCAGAGTGAGGAAATGGCGGCAGCTGGACTCAGCGTGACCGTCACCCACAGTGAGCACGGGTGTCCGGGTTGGTTTCGTGCCGCGCCACGAAAGTCTGGCAGGGTCTAGGGGTTTGACACGTGTTCTGTGGAAGCGCTTGTCCAAGTGTTTGTCCTGGCGTCCGGAAGTGTGGGTTCTTGTTTGTGTCCGTGGAACGGGTTTTTGTGTGGGTCTCTATCAGCACACCTTTCTCTGTGGCCGTAGTATTTTGTTTTAAGTCATTTGTTTGCTCTTCGATGTCGTACTTCACGTCGTAGTCGTGGTTGTGTATGTAAGCCTGTGCCTGCACAGTTATTGTGGGTCTTTGTGTCAGGCTTGTATTGGCCCATGCGTATGACTGCTCTGTGTCCGGACACCTATGTGGGTATCGAGTCATACACCCGTGTATGTACACTGTTTGAGTGAGCTGTGGGTCCAAGCATGCACCCTGGGCACCCTTTGGCTCTGCCTGCTGTTGGAGTTCACACAGACCAAAATGATCAATTCAACGGAGGGCTGAGCCCATTAGGTTTCCTCAGGACCAATTGTGGGAAATCCCAGGACCTCAGAATCTGGAGATTTTGGATCCTGCAATTTTAAGTGACCTTGGGATGTCTCCTTGGTAGGCATCTGTTTTGTTCTCTGTGAATTACAGTTGTTAACACCTGTCCTGAACAGGCTCAAGGCTTTGCCTAATGCGTGGTAAACAGGCTACCTCCTTACTGCCCACATACCTGGAAAAGAATTGGCACCTCTGCCCCAAAAAGAAATTTTTTGCTGTTTTGAGTTTATTCACTCATTTGCCTATTTACTGAGCACCAACTATGTTTGTACCCAGATGTGCCCAGTGGGAGAGACCTGGAGGGAAAAAACAGTCCTTTGCCTGTTATAGCAAAGGATACACAGGTCAGTACAGTACAGAAAAGAGGGCATTCAGGCCACAGAGGCAGATGGCTTGTGATAAAAAGTGTGGACTTTAGAATCAGATCTGAGGTCAAGTTATGACTCCACAGCTGGGTCTCCACAGACAGGTCTTGACTGAACTCAGTTTGCTTGTCTGTGAAATGGGCAATAATAGGTAGTACCTACTTCATAGGGTGGTTCTGAGGATTAAATAAGATAATGCATAAAATGAGCCTAGTTAACCTCTTGTGCATGTTAAGTGCTTACAAATTAGCTGATATCACTAATATTGTTAATTGTAATAAAGGAAATAAAAATCCTTGACCAGGTCAGCAGACTAAAGCTGGGCAGATGGGGTGGGGGGCTGTTTGGAGTAGGTTGCATAAGAACTGGGCCTTGAGGGCTGGAGGCTCTGTACTTAAATATAATAAAGTATCAGCCTACATTGGTTTATGTGGAAGAGTTTTCTTAATTAAATGCTTTTCTCTCTCCCCAGGCAATGAGAAGCATGACCTACATGTTACCCCACAGCAAGGCTGTAGTGAACCAACTGTCCAAGACCTGGCCCAGGTTGTTGAAGAGGCCACTGGGGTCCCACTACTTTTTCAGAAACTCATATTTAAGGGTAGGCATTTCTCTTCCAGCTTTAAGCCCTTATGACTAAAGGAATGGTAACTCTCAGTTCTCAAAATTGGGTAATTCTTGTTTGCTGTTTATTTATTTCTTTAGCAAATATTTATTGAGGACCTACTGTGTACTGGATACTTCCAAACATTTGGGCATGTGTTAGAATTGAAGCCACATGAGGGTGGCAGAATCTTACTCTTTTTTTTTTTTGTTAAAGCAGACACTCTTGTCTTGTTCCTAATTTTAGGGGAAAGGTATTCAGTCTTAAGATTTTATTTATTTTAGAAAGGGGAAGGGAGGGAGAAAGAGAGGGTGAGAAATATCAATGTGTGAGAGAGACAATCAATCAATTGTCTCTCACCCGCCCCAACTTGAGACCAGGCATGTGCCTTGAAAGGGAATCAAACTGGTGACTTTTCGGTTTGCAGGCAAGTGCTCAATCCACTGAGCCAACTTGGTCAGGGCAAACACAGTAATTTTCAGTGCAATCTTATTCACAATAGTAAGAAACTGGGAAGAGCCAAAAATTAAGGAATAGGGGATGGATAAACTATACAATAGAACAATAGAAGACTTCATAGGGCAGAAACTTACCATTTGTGATGAAGCACCTGGACAGTCTACCCTGGCTGAGTTAGATCCTCTTCCCATTGTATGTTCACATAGCACTCCCTACCACTTTGGCATAACCTGTACTGAAATTACTATTACAATAATTGTTTTCAGAGTTGCTCAGTATCTGATTTTTTTGTTAGAATAACAAATTCTATATGGGCAGAGATACTGCTGTGTGTCCAATGCTCAGCATAGTGCTGACATAGAGGGTGCTGGATGAACAAACTTACCAGGAGCCTGGATATGACAGGCCCACTGGGTGATGCCAGTTTCTGCCAGGACCTGTCCCCTCCGTACCCCCATGCTCTGTCTTTCCATTCCATGGGAACCCATTATTTTGGTATCTGGTGGGGCCAGATTTATCTCATTTAGTGTTGATCATAAAGTATTTAGTGATGGAAAGCATTTTTATGTACACTTCACAGTGTAACTTTTTGTTTTGGGTTTTTTTGTTTGTTTTTCATTTTAAAAACATTTCATTTAAAAATTATAAGGGCACATTTCAAAATAGAGAAAGCATAAAGAAGAAAATGTTCTCCTGGATAAAACCCCTCATAACATTTCAGCATATTTCTATTTAGCTTTCTGGTTTGTTTATTCTGGCGTGTAGAAGTGCAGGTTCTGGTTTGTGGGCTTTTGTTGTTATTTTTTATCCTCATGTGAGGACTTTTTTTTTTCCAGTGCTTTTAGAGAGAGGAAGGGAGAGAGGTTGAGAGAGAAAAAGCGATGCAAGAGAGAAGCATCAGTTGGTTGTCTCCTATACTCTCCCGAACTGGGGATTGGCACCCCAACTGGGGATTGAACCTGCAACCAACCTAGGTATGTGCCCTGACTGGGAATCAAACCTGTAACCTTTTGGTTACAGGACAACACTAGAACCGACTAAGCCACACCAGCCAGGACAATGGTTTCTGTTTTTTGGGTTTTTTTAAATTTGTTCATTTTTAGATAACAAACCTAGGATCATATTGATTATACAGTTTTTTAACTTTTTTCCCAGGAAACCCTGGGTCATCAAGGTTTATTGTGGCCTTGAAATTTGCCGAAAAAATGAACGTTAATGCCTACAAAGTTTTCTGTTGTTCTGAAGTATAGTTTATCAGCTCCCTACTCCTGAATTTTTGGCTCTTTCCAGTTTCTTATGGTTATGAATAAGGTCGCACTGAAAATTATGTGTTTGTACTGGCTGGTATGGCTCAGTAGATTGAGCACTGGTCTGCAAACTGGAAGGTCACCAGTTCAATTCCCTATCAGGCCATGTGCCTGGGTTGCAGGCCAGGTGCCCAGTTGGTGGCTTGCAGGGAGCAACAGATTGATATTTCTCTTGTTTCTCTCACACATCGATGTTTCTCTCTCTCTCTCTCCCCCTCCCTTCCTCCCTTTCTGAAAATAAGTAAAAAAATGTTTTTTAAAGAAAGAAAATTATTATATAACAGTTATTTTGCAGGCACATGTTCTGTTTTTTGTTTAGGATAATAGCTGAAGTGAAATTACTGAGTCAAGACCCTTCTAAAGTTACACCAAGTTATCGTCTTCTCATCAGTGAAAACACTTGTCTGTCTCCTTACTGAAACCTGTTTTCAGTGTTGTACAATTGTTACAACTTGGCATAACTTTCTTCTCTTCAGGAAAATCTCTGAAGGAAATGGAGAAACCTTTGTCTGCACTTGGACTACAAAATGGTTGCCGGATCATGTTAATTGGGAAAAAGGTAAATTGCTTTTTCCACCAGAATACAACCAAATCAAATGACCGAGGTCTTTTATGCATATTTCTGAGTAGAAGGCAAAATTGGGGACCCGGATTCTGCATTGGTGAAGCACTCTAAACAAATGTAGCCTCCATTTGTTCGATGGGGTCACCAGTTTTGTTGTTCTTACGCCCTCTGGCTTCTGTTGGTGTGGGCTCTTGCTCTGAAAAGTTAGGCACAGTTGTGCTGCCTCAGTAACACAGCTTTTGTGTGGGTGGTAGAGGCTCAGTCTGGTTAAAAGGTGCCTAAGACAGGCCTTACTCATTTGGAGGGGATTTGCAAGAGAACATTTTATTAAAATAAACCTGTAGATTTAAAAAGTAAATACAAGTTTTAGGCTCTCTCCCTTTAACCACCCTTTTTTCTAAAGTATCCCACAAGGAAAAGAAAGGATCAGACTAAGGGTTCTTTCCTCTAGCTGGAAAGAAAGGTGTAGACTAAAGAATTAAGGGGAAAAAAAGAGCCAGTTGGTGACAGGTGAGGACAATAGCCTCGTGGGTGATGAGGGAGGGCCCTGGACAGTCCTGCATTGTGACCCAATGGAATTGTTGGTTACATGAAGTTTCCTTACTTTGAGTGAGGTGGCTGACTCCAAGTGGAAAGAGGGTGAGATTAGCAAAGTAGAGACAAAGAAAATCTAGTCCAGACTTGGAACTGCTAGGAGACTGGCACTCTGAATTTAGCCACAAAAAAGAATGTGAATAATTTGGGATAGTATAAAAGCAGGAAGATGCTGTCTCTGGCTCTCAATTGTTTAGGTGAGAGAAGGGGAAATAGTCTAGATTTCTTGCTCAAGGGTCAGGGAGAATAGTGATAGGCAGTGGCAGAACCCAAAGGCTGAGGTTGAAGAAGCTGTAGGACTCCTGATTGGAGCTGTCCTGGGGTGTGTAGAGCCAAATCTGACTCCAGTTTCCGCTCTGTTTCTTTTTGGCTATGTGCCCTTAGGTTATAATAACCTCAATTTCACTATCAAAACAGTACCTACCCACCTCATTGGGTTTTGGTAAGGCTTAAAACAATAACACTGGTAAAGTGCTCAGGATAGTACCTGGCATAGAGGAAACACTTGTTAAAAGTATTCATCATTGTCATGTTGGTGGATGACATTTTGGAATTCTATGTGAAGGAATAGTAGAATTCCATCTACCTAGCCATTCTGGACTCTTCACAGGTGTTCACTGTAATTTGCTCACCCTCCAGGGATCAGACTGGCTGTTGATGATCAGCCCCAGGCTGAGGCTGAGCCTGGCTCCATTCTCTGAATCCAAGTTGTCAGGGCCTTACCTGAATACTTACCTAATACCTTCTCCCTAGTCTGGAGTCTTTGTAGATACCCTCTCTCTAGTCTAGTCTTCGTAGATAGAATGCCTAACATGTACCCTGTCGCTTGTTTTCCAAGAAGCAACAGAGTTAAGACTTTTGTTTTGGTGAGTGGTTTAGCCCTTTTGTGGCCAGGCTTTTTTTTCCTGACAGGGGATACTCTTCTTGGTGATTAGTGGCTTCATTTTATTCTTAAACATTCTGTTTTTTTAAAAGATTTTTAAAATTTGTTTTTAGAGAGAGGGGGAGGGGGAGAGGAAAGAGGGGGGAAAGAAACATTGATATGTGAGAGGAACATCAAACAATTGCCTCTTGCATGCCCCTAACTGGGGGCTGAACCCGCAACCTAGGCATGTGCCCTGACCAGGAATCCAACCAGAAACCTTTCACCTTGTGGGACCATGCCCAACAAACGAGCCACACTGGTCAGGGCTCTGTTTTATTTGTTTATTTGTTTTACTCTTAAACATTTTAGAATAGTCCAGAGGAAGAAATTGAACTAAAGAAGTTGAAAGATTTGGAGAAGTCTGTGGAGAAGATAGCTAACCAGCTGGAAGAGTTGAATAAAGAGCTTAGTGGAATCCAGCAGGTAACTCTTGGTGGACTTTGACTGTTTAGCTTCTCTAAGAAATTTGTGGAGTTACAAACGTATGTTACAAGAGCAGGCTCAGTAGTCAGACTCCTTGGGTTCAGATCCTGGCTCTACTCTTTCTGTCACTGTGGGCAACTCTACCTTTGTCTCAAGTTCCTCATCTATAAAAAGGAAAAATGATGATTCCTCCCTTTTAGGCTTTTGTGATGATTAAGTAATGTAGTTTGAGCCTGAGACATGCTAAGTGCTTTGTAAGTGTTATCACTGTTATTTTCAAACCCCAGCCAGCATCCATTTGTGCGTCTGGGAGAGCACCTGCTGTACTAGGGTCACGTATTGTCTAAAATAGAATAGATAACTTCTCTCAGTCTAGTCCAGCAATTTTCAACCATTGTGCCACAAGAATTTTTAAAACATTCAATGTCTGACTATTTAGTCAGAGGCACTGACCTCTTTTCCATTAGCTTGTCAAATAAAAAAATGGCAACAGCCAACACAACAATAGCTGTCAGGTGTGAATGAATCACAATTACACCTATTTTTTTGGTCAGATTAGCAAAAAATAAATTTCTTGGTATATACTATAAAATTTCATTTTATTTTTCTTTTTTTTAAATATTTTATTTATTTATTTTTTAGAGAGGGAAGGGAGGGAGATAAAGAGAGAGAAACATCAATGTGCGGTTGCTGGGGGTTATGGCCTGCAACCCAGGAATGTATCTGGCTGGGAATCGAACCTGGGACACTTTGGTTCCCAGCCCGTGCTCAATCCACTGAGCTACGCCAGCCAGGGCTTCATTTTTAAAAATTTATTAATTTAACAGAGGGGAAGGGAGGAAGAAAGAGAGGGAGAGAAATATTGATTGGTTGCTTCTCTCACATGCCTGACCAGGGACCAAACCCAAAACCTAGGCATGTGTCCTGACCAGGGGTTGAACCGGTGGCTCTGTGCTTTGTGGGACAATGCCCAACCAACTAAGCCATACCAGTCAGGGCCAGAATTTTAGTGATTCGTTTATGTGTGCCGTGAGGTTAAAAAAAGGTTGAAAATTGCTGGTCTAGGCTGATAAATATGTTTAGCAAAGAAAAGAACATTTTGTTGATTCATAGAAGGTCCAACTTGACTGGATCTTAGAGGGGTGGTCATCCAATTCAATTTCTTTTTAAAAAATATTTATTTATTTATTTTTAGAGAGGGGAAGGGGAGAGGGAGAGAAACATCAATGTGTGGTTGCCTCTCACACGACCCCTACTGGGGACCTGGCCCACAACCCAGGCATGTGCTCTGACAGGGAATTGAAGTGGCAACACTTGGGTTCCCAGGCCTGTGCTCAATCCACTGAGCCACACCAGCCAGGGCCAATTTCTTATATTAGAGATGGAGTACTGAAACCAATAAGGATTAGAAACAGTCCCAAACTATTTGTTTTTTACCTCATTTTATAACTTTAATGGATGTATGCTTGTGTTTTAATTACAAAAGTAATACATAGTGATTGTATGTAATGTTTAAGTAAATATATGGGCATTAATATGGAAAATAAAAATTACCTATAGTGCCCCAGCTCAAAGACAGCCATTACTAAAGCCTGGAATCTATTTTTCTGTCTTTAAAACAAATTGGTGTGCTGTTATATACACTTTGTAAATTTTTCATTAAAAACAATCAAACTTTTCAAAACTTGCATAACATTTCATCACATGTGAATGCAGCACGGTTTATTACCTAACCAGTCCTTTATTGTTTATCACTTAATGTTCTTTTACCATTTTGGGTAATGCTGCTTTGAAATCCTTAGACGTAGATCTTTTTTGACTATTTCTGATTTTTTTTGGTAGAATAAATTCTTTGAGTTGGAATTTCTGGCTAAGGTGTACTGCATGTTGTCAGATTTGCATCCGTAACTGTCGTCTTTGATAAACACCCCCAGAAATCCCTGCTGTCACCAGCTAACTGGTCATTTGGCCAAGCAATGTGAATACACAGCCAGTCCATTTAATAAAAATAATGTAAGTGCTGCCGTTTGTTAGCACATGTCTGTGTCAGGAATTATATTAAGGGTCTGCATATATTCCCCTTGGTCCTCACAGTAACCCTATGGGGTGTGGGTATCGTAATCTTCATTTTCATAATGAAAATACTGAGGCACAGATAGGTTAAGTAACTTACTCAAGATCACAACCCAGTAAATGGCAGCAGAATTCAAGTCCAGGGCTACCAAACTCTAAACTCTGTGCTCTTACTGTGTCTGCCTCCTGTATGTAGGTATACTCCTCTGGCTTCACCAGAGCTGGGGCTCAGGAGGCATTTGCAGGTTATTACAGAAAGGCCTATTACAGTGCTTGGGGGGCCTAGGGCCAGTTTTCCTGGTTTTTCCAAGAGATGAAGTTGTAGGTCTTGAGGTCTAGCCCAGCCTGTTGGGGGGAATGTGGATTCGGAGTGTGGCTGCTCCATCAGTGCCTCAGCTTGGAGTTTTCCATTAGCCTCAAGGAACCCTTGCAAGAGTGCGTTATTTCTCCACAGGGCTTTCTGGCCACAGATTTGCAAGCTGAAGCTCTCTGCAAACTCAATAAGAGAGTAAAAGCCACAATTGAGCAGTTTATGAAGATCTTGGAGGAGATTGACACACTAGTAAGTAAATATTCACCTGAGAAAAACTAGTTTCCTTTGACTATGTTTTAGTCAGTTTCACTCTTTCAGTAACTCAGCCTTACTGCCCAAGGATATCGAGCTCTTGCTGTGTGTGCCAGACACGGGTAGATCCGGGGTGAATGCTTGGAAAGATAAGACAGTTGCTGATTTCTAGGCACCCACATCCCACCAACACAGGACTTTTGTCATTTTTATTCATGTATGCTAGTAGCACCTAATCCTCGTGAAGCTGGGATCCAAATGGTCCATGATCTCTTGGTTGGAGAAACATACGCTTCACTTTCTGATACTTACATTACTGATATTCCACTTAACTCATTACCTGTACAGAATTCAATCAGGCTCAGTTCTTGGGAGGCTGTTGGGAATCATTGATGCCATGTTCCCTTTTACAGATGACGATAATGATATCTCTAGCTTGATGCCTCATTCTTTTTAAGACAGAGGGAAAGGGAGGGAGAAAGAGAGGAAGAGAAACATCAATGTGTGGTTGTCTCTCATGTGCCCCTTCCTGGGGACCTGGCACACAACCCAGGCATATGCCCTGACTGGGCATCGAACTGGTGACCCTTTGGTTTGCAGGCCGGCGCTCAATCCACTGAGCCACACCAGCCAGGGCTGATGCCTCATTTTTGAGGATGAGCTACTCTGCTTGGGATTTGGTGGGGGGGGAGGGTGAGGAAGGTTGTAAAGAAGATGCAGAAGGTGCTTTTCCTGCCACAGTGAGCTCATGGTATGGCCACAACATATAGTATCCATACATAGGAAACAGTGGAAGAACAAAGTCTGTGTTAAAGATCAGTTTCTGTGGCCCAGACACAGAACAAAGGGAGCTTTTATAAGGTCATGAGCCATGGAAGGGTGGTGGAGGATATAGATTCAGAAATGATTCCTGAGAATGCATGTCTCATTCACATTGGTGACCCATGACCTATTGTATTTGGTGTTCCCTGGGTATTTCTGGTATGTTCTTATGTCATTTTTAATGATAATTATTTATGTGTCAACTTATTTTCCCATAGATTCTGCCAGAAAATTTCAAAGACAGTAGACTAAAAAGGAAGGGTTTGGTGAAAAGGGTTCAGGTGAGTTGTGTGGTAGAGTATTAGAAAGGGTAGAATGTTGGTGTCTGTGTTTATCTCTTCAAAGAAGGGTATAGAAGTGTGTGTGGCTTTTTTTTGTTACTCGGCATTCAGCATGAACCCAGAATATTTGAAGTTAAACTAATTGGGAAGGGAGATCACTGAGAGCAGATGGGGTGGACACATTCATATGTACAGAGCCCCCTGAAATGTACAGTTGCAGCATCAAGGCTTCCTGTTATCACCGCCCTTTGGGGGGTTATGGGCCTAGAGCATGGTCAGAAACCCTGGTCTTTGTGTCCCTCCTCTTCCCTATCCTTACTTTGGAGCCTAGGCCATCCCTGCACAGCCTGTTTCAGCATGAGTCAGTCACCCGTGGGTTTCCCAGAATGGCTGAGCAGAGCCTTGGGGTTGGCTGGCTCTGGGTGGACCCTCACTGTCATGCATGGATTTTTCAGGCGTTCCTAGCTGAGTGTGACACAGTGGAACAGAACATCTGCCAGGAGACAGAGCGGCTGCAGTCCACAAACTTGGCCCTGGCCAAGTGAGGTGAGGCGGAGAGAGGCTGTTCGACCCTGAAGACAGTTCCACCAGCTCTGCCCCATTTGGAACAGAAGTTACCTGATTTCTCCAGGGTTGCTGGGGACAATTGGCCAGTTGCCAGTTTTCCTTCTCCTACACCTGTTCTCAAAGAACAAGTATTGTCTTTACAGTACTAAGTAGAGCTCTTGTCTGTTTTCCCATTCTGTCTCTGTGTGGCTGTGCTGGCCACCAGCCCACCTTGTCTGGGGAAGGCCCAAGTCTTCCCAGGTCTTTTGACCTTTGGGTGCCCTCATTTGTCCTGGGGTAGTTTGGGTTTTTATAGGCCACCTTGGTCTTCAAATACATAAGGCCTTTTTGCCCTTGTGATCCTGGAGTCCCATAGATGTGAATCAGAGTCACGGGGAGGGGGAGGGTTGTATCTCATTGGGAATGTTAGGAATGGCCTGGAACAGGTGTTTGGCACAAACTAGTCCAAGTATCTCTTGTTGTGACCTGATTCTAGAAGAGCTGGCTTGGTTGTTGGTTCACATACCCTGTCCTCACCTCCCAGTGTCCCTGCAAAGCCACAGCCAGTAGGTCTCAGGGGGCCATTCCTGGGGTCAGAGCCTTGTGTTTGATGTCCCCAAACAAATCTGTAGAAGGTTAGAACCCAGTGCTGATGGAGTCTCTGCGTGAAACCAGGTCAGAATCACAGCTTAGGAAGGGCAGAGAGGGGAGCAGAATGAGTAAAGCAGGCAGATGGTGAAGACAACCATAAACTTCTCAGGAGTTCCTTCCAAGGCATTTCTGTTACCTGTACCATCCTGAGATCTGTATTTCCTTCAAGGCTGTTCCTGTCCATTTTGTGGCCTTCTCTACCCCTCCACCCATTGTTTTTAAAAAACAGTTTGTATACACATCAGCAAACAGAAGAGTGTTTAAACTTTTTTTTTTTAAATAAAGTGTGAGAGGCAAGAGCCCTTGTGGTTCTAGTCATAACTTTAATAAAATTGAGAGTGGCCGTGCATGCTAGAACCCTTAAACCGGTCAGCTGCTGTCACCCCATTTTTTCACACAGTGCCCAGGAAACAGATGGGCTCTTGACAGTCAACTCTGAAACCAACCGTATTTGGCAGAGAGGGCATCAGTGAAATCCCAGGAATTTAGGACTGTGTGGGTGGGACTAGGAAAAGGTGATGACTCGGTGGACAAGTGGATGAGGCTCAGGGCCCAGCCCAGCCCAGCACCAGCTGCAATCAGAGCAATCCAGTACTTAGCTGTTTTTATGTAGTAGCTGTGTCGCCTTGGGTCACAACATTGAATGAAAAGTTACTGTGTGCCAGATACTATTTTAAGTACTTTAGATGCATTAGTTGTTTAATCCTCAAACAACCTAGGAGGTAGACAGATAGTAACCCGTGTTAGAGGTGAGGAAGCTGAGAGAGCTTAGGTAATTGGCTGAAGTCATAGAACAACTAGCAAAACCAGGACACCAAGCCGGGCAGTTTGATTCAGAGCCCATGATCTTCATCTCTGTTGTGCCACTTCCCCATTGTCAGGGTTGCATGTTCTCTCTCATTTTCTCTTCCTCGCCCTCCTTATCTCCCATGTTGGTCTTTCCACTTCCTCTCTGCTCCTCTCCAGTTCATTCCCCACAGAGCACTGTGAATGATTCTAAAGTACAAATCCTATCGTGTTGGTCCCCTGCTTAAAAACCTCCAATGGCTTCCCATTTCTCTGGAAATAAAGGCCAAAGTCCTTATTCTCTGCCCTCTCCCATTTCATCTCGGGCCACCCTCCTATTTGCTGCCTGTGGTTGGCCACTCTGGTCTTTGCCCAGGTCCTCATATGCTCTGTACCCTCTGCTGCCCTGGGGTGTTTACATACACTCTTCCCCTGCTGGGACAGCTCCACGCCACCCTTCCACTAGGTAACTCCTATTTATCTTTCAAAACTGAACTCAATGCCTTTTCCATGGACTGAGAACATATCAAGGCCCCTGTCATAGCTTGCTGTAACTTTTCTTTCACAGCATGTATCATAATCTGTGATGATTTATTTATGGGATTGTTTGATTTAATATTTGCCTTTTATATTTGACTGTAAGTTCCTTGGGTTAAGGTGCTACTCTGACTTGTTAACAGTGTATTTCAAACACGTTGTCTGGTTTTATAGTAGATGCCCAATAAATATTTGGAGAATGAATGAATGAACGTTGAACACACATACCAACAGTGAAATTCCCACAGCTGCACTCAGCCACTGAAGCTCTGTCAGCACTGAAAGTTACAACAACAACAACCATTGTTTTATTTATTTATTTATTTATGAGAAAAGAGGCCCTAAGGTGTGGGGTACCTGGCAGATGTGCAGGATGGTAACTGGGGCCTGGCCACACAGCTCACCCATCCACAGGGTGGCTTTGCCTCTGAACAGCAAGAGAACATCCCTTCTCAGTTGCCTACTTTCCTGGGACAGGATAAGCCCTAATGCAGAGGAGTACATGGAGCTCTGTGATCCCCAAAACTTTCTTCAGCCTCATAGAACCGGAAGATTTCTTCCACACATGGACTTTTTAGTCAACAACTTCTGATTATCCTCAGGCATAACTTAAAGATTACCTCCTCTGAGAAACCCTTCTTCATCTAGTAGTTAGGCCTCTTTTTGTTGAAAGAGCCAGAAACTTAATTTCAAGGACATTGTCAAAATGGAAAATTTATTGTCCAGATGTCAAGTTATCCCATGTAACTTTGGGAAGTTCAAGGACAAGTGGGCTCCAGGAACTCAGACACTGCCTGGAATCACTCTGTACCTTTCTTTGTATGTCAGCATCATTCTCTCCGTCCTGCTTCTTCCATGAAGTAGGAAACAAAGCTGCCAGCAGTCCCTACTTTGTACATCTTACAGCTTCACTGCCAGAGAGGAACTGGCTCTGTTTTCTTGTTTCCAGTTTGAAAAATCCTGAAAAATCTTTTGGCCAAATCAGCCATGCCTGGAGCAGCTAAGTTACATGTTACAGATAGGGACTTGAGGGGCCCACACATAGATTTCAGGGTGCTTCCCAGAGGCAGGGCCACAGTTTCCCCATCTGTAAAGTAGGGAATTAGGTGTTTTTTCCACTGTGGCACATTGCTCAAACAGAATCTGTGATTCCTCATTGTGTGAGTGGAATCCTGGGAGAGAATGGCCACTGAGAAGCGTGGCTGAACTATGCCGCTTGAGCGTAAGACAGGCGTCCCACAAATATGACACCTAGAGCAGAGACTCAGGTGTCACAAATATCCACTTTTCCTACAATAAGTGAACACCTGATTTTCAGCTTAGCACATGGCCAACCAGCTAAAAACTCTATTTCCCAGTCTCCTTGCACTAGCATGGATAAGAGAAGACTACATTTTTTTTATCCTCACCCAAGGATATGTTTATTGATTTTAGAGAAAAAGGGAGTGAGAGAAAGAGAAACATCGATGTGAGAGAAACATTGATTGGTTAACTCCCACATGCGCCCAGACTGGAGGTTGAACCTATGACCTTTGGTGTATGAGATGATGCTCCAACCAACTGAGCCACCCTGCCAGGACTAATATGTACATCTTATGGGAAGCATTTCCAGAGGCAGTAGTTTGCTCTTCTTCCTTTCTGAGGGCTGGAATGTAGACATGATGGCTGGATTTGGAGCAGCTGCCTTGGACCTTGAGGTAGAAACTGATGAGGAAGGCAGAGTAACTATAGAAGGAGCATGGAATTGGCTTACTAGATAGGTCTATGTGAAAGAAGTGAACTTCTGTTTAAACCGCAATTAGCTTTTCAGTCTCTGGCAGCCAAAATTAATCTTACATTATTCATATGCAGGTGGGAAATGAGATTCTGTTGTCAGTAGCAATGGAAGGGCCTGTAGATGACCTCCCAGTCCCTATAATAGTTGCGAATCTATCAGCAGCAGTTCCTGCTTAGGTTCCCATTTCTGTGGTTCAGGGAATGTCGGTTCCTGCCTTCCTTGCCTCCACTTTTCCTTTCAAACCTTGACATTTATTTTCCCATGTGAAAATGCTCCCACCTGGCCAGGTCCCTCCACTCTTCCCCCACCACCATTATCAAGCGGTTCCTCCTGTAGGCTTTGACCTAAAGAGTGGGCACTTGACATATACCATAGGCCAGGGCTCTGTGGGCAGATTTCTGCATGCTGTGTGTTCCTATGGGCTGTTGTGTGAGTGCGTGTGTGCTGTGTGTGCCTGGGACTGCGTCTAGTGTCAGCATATTTAACGGCCAGTAGGAGTGGACATTGACCAAAAGAAAGCTGAGTCTGGAGTCATCCTGCTGTGGGTGGGCAGGGTGCAGGAGGGGGCCATCAAGGGCTTGGGACAACACCTGTTTCAACTGTTACACACCTATTTCAATATTTTAACGAGCAGTTCTGTTGTACTGTGTGCATGCATCACTTGGATATCAGCCGTGGTTGTGTGTATGTGTGTGTGTGTGTGTGTGTGTGTGTGAGAGAGAGAGAGAGAGAGAACTTGGGGTGCTAGGTTAGCCAGAGAGAAAGCCATGAGGGGTTGTGGGACCCTCACAAAGCCTTCTGACGCTGGGCCAAGCACCCTGGCAGTGGCAGAAGGTACAGATCTCACCTAGGTTCTTGACCTCAGTCACACAAGAGCACTGGGCAGAGAGAGTCCTAAGACCAGGGGCTGGCCTCTTAGAACCCTGACCTCAGAAAGGAAAAAAATACCTGGGATCTCTAGGGGGACGTGTGACAGAGTTGAGCACTGGAGTGACGGAGAGGATATTAATTCAGAGTAAGGAGGATGGGGCCAGTTCCAACATACCGCCTCCACAACCACCTCCCCAGAGTCCCCAAAGATACTGGCCCACTTGACCGGGTTGGGCTGGATCTTTTATTTCATGTCACATCCTTTCCACTCCCACCACTGTTCTCCAGCCTGAAGCTTCATGGCTTAGGTTCCTGTGGGATCAGCATTTGCCATCCTTCATGATCTGGATGTCCTGTTTGGTTTTTCTAGAATCACAGGAGACAGGAATGAGGCCACCTCCTCGGGAACTGTAATGTACCCTTCAGGGACCTTGGCACAGTCCATCCAAACACCCTGCTGAGCCCTCCCCACCCACTCAGTGTATGGTGCAAGGCAGACCCCAGGGGTGCCTGGGCACATCTTTTTACAGCTTTTCCCTCTTGCACACCCTCCCCTGGGAGATTTCAGCTTGCTAGGGTTTGCAGCATTTGCTGGCTGCAAATCTATTACTGGCCCAGACTTCGGTCCTAAACTCCAGCCACATCTCCACTGGGACGTCCCAGAGGCTCAGCTGTCCACAGACATCGCCATCCCACCAACCTGCTACGCCCCCTCATCCTGACATATGGCACCACCAACCGCCCCAACCTACAAGTCAAAAACCAGCATTTTCTAAGTTAGGCCTGTCCTGCTGCTCTCCTGCATGTCTGTCTAGAGCATTGTAGCTTCCAAAGGCTTTCTTCTCTTCCATGATCTCACTTAGCTTTGGCCTGCTCAAGGGTCTTTTTTACTGAAGACGTGAGAGCAAAAGGGTGATCAGATATATCAAGGTCATGTTTTTGTCCTGCCTACCTCTCTACACTCGTTTCTTGCTTTTCCCCTATTATCCTTTTAAAAAAATATCCTATTAAACTTTATACTCCAGCATATCTGACTTGTATTTCCTCATATACAAACTTTCTCTTCTAGAACTTTTCAAACTCATTTCTCCACTTGGATTTACCTTCCCTTATTTCTTCATTTTCCTAGCTGATTCTCCTCCTTCGGAGCTGGGAAGTGTTCCCTGCCCTTGCCCTGTACCCACAAAACCCAGTGCACACCCATCTGATACTGCAGCATGCTAGGCTGCAGTTGGCTACCCATCACCTTGGCTCCCACCTTAGACCAACTGTATGCCCCAGGAGGCCAGTCATGCTGTCGAGCTTATTATGTATCCCTAGTGCCTAGCACATAGTAGGCGCTCAATAAATAATTGTTGGCTGGATGAATAAATGAACAAATGAGGTCACTTAGTCAGTTGGGTCAGAACAAGGAAAAGAACCCAGGGTTCTTGCACTCACTTCCAACCCCCCACAAGCTGAGCCTTCTGCTTAAAACCATGTGTGTGAACTACACTTGTGCCCATTCTCTTAGGGGCAAATACTGAGGATTCTACTCAGGTCAAGTGTGTGTGAAGGAGGAAGCAGGTCAAGTTTTGTTCCTTTCAGACATGTAGGTCGCAGAGATGGGACCCACACAAGCAAGCACAGGGAAAGTGGGGAGTGAACTTACATCCGGACTAAGCAAAGCTGGCATTCATTGTCATACGTGATCCTGTCAGTGCCGCAGACCGGGTTGAGTGTCTGGGGACATTTTGGAGATTCCTTCATATGATCACAGATGGGCTGTGAAAGAGCAGACGGGAGGGAGGGCACAGGGATTCAGAGGCAGTGAGCAGGAACCCAGGGGCTCTGTTTGGAGCCGGAGGGGCCTCTAGCAGGAGTCAGATTCAAGAAGGCCCCAGTGGGGATCCAGTGAGCATGAAACCAACCACTCAGGGCCCCTTGGCGTGATTGCTTGTGTGTGCACCTTTAATCGTGTGTGGCTGTGGCTATGTGTACATCAGTGTGTACCTGTGCCTGTATTTATGTGTGTGGAGTGAGTATGTGCCCTCCAGATCCTGGGGATGTGTTCACATACTCCTCAGGGGAGCTCACTGGAACCTCTGCTGCTGGCTCCTTTGCGGACCCCAGGAGATAGAATCACCCATCGTTCCCAGGAGGCCCCTCCTCCCCTGGGGCTCCTGAGCTCACCTTAGCCTGCAAGACCTATCTGGTCCCTGGTGTGGGAAGGCTGGAGAAAAAGACAGGGCTTGGGACTTCACTGAGGCTCAGTCTGAAAGGGTTTCAGGCATTAAACAAGTGGGGCTGGATTCTTATGGGTGACAGTGAAGATGCCGAGGCTGCTGGATGGGAAGCCTCTCATTATCTATGTGAGGGGAGGGTTGAGGGTCTCAAGGAGGCCAACACCACTGCCTTGGGATCACTGGGAACATCAGGCCCATGGCCAAGGTGGGATCAGGGTTCAAGGACAACTTGGTGTCTATGCATCAGAGCCAAGGGATAGATGATGGGGTGTGGTTGGGGGAGGCTGGCATCCCCACAGGGCCATTCAGTGTGCCAGGGTCACCTCTTTGGCCTGAACCCTGCGGCCTGTCGGTCTACACCATACAAAGCAGAGAGTGCACCTGATCCTGCTGCGCCTGGGCAGAGGGATCTCACTGCTGGCAGGGGCCTTGGAGATCAGATCGGGGCAGATCTCTCGAGGGCTTTGATGCCTGGTTTGGGGCTTTGTCGAAGGGGCTGGACCTGCTCAGCCTGGAAGGGCTGACCTGGGGAACATACAGGCTCAGGAGACCATCCTGGTCACCAAGGAGCCATGGGGGTTATCTGAGCAGGGGTGTAAAAGAAAAAACGCTAGTTTTCTAGCGTGGATGGGAGGGCTCCCCTCTGCAGAGGAAGGGCCAGAACTGCAAGCAGCTGCCTTACCATTCTGGAGAAGACAAGCTCTTCTGCCGACACTGGCACTTCTGAAAGGCAAAACAGCAAGAATTAGGGGATATCAACTCTAGGCCCCAGGTCTAAGCATCTGAGGACCTGTTCAGATGCACTTCTTCCAAGGACCTGTTCCAGCCACTATCCAATCTCAAATTCTTCGAGGAAAGGTAGTAAGTAACCAGGCAATGGGGCTCCCCAGAAAGCTGATGTGACCTGGGGTTACATGAACAGAGATGGGAAGTCCAGAATTAGGAACAGTCCAGCCTGTTCCTTAGTCAAATTCCAGTGAAATTGCGTCCCATGTAATAATAAAAATAACAGTTCGTTTGCATGTGTCAAGCATGGAGAATACATGATCTTACTGCTCTTCACACCTCTCTCACTAGTATGCAATGGGGAGGAAGGGGGCTGGCGGTGGATGCTGTGGTTGGCCACCTAGATCCCACCCGCAGGGCTGAGGCAACCATTTCCTCAGCTGCCAAGAGCATTGGTCACTCATAGGAAGACCCTCCCTAGGAATTACCTTCAGGGAATGGAGTTTCCTCACTCAAGGTCACGTCCCCTACCCAGGTACAATGCCCGAACCCCTCATCTCTGTTCAGAACCATGCTGAAGGGCCTCCCCAGCTCCAAAGTTCCCTGCAGGATCATTAGAGGCCTCTGTTGCACTGCATTGCAGTCAATTTCCCTCTTCCCTCATGGGCGTTACCCCCATGGGTACTCCCCTATAAACTGCATGCAGATCTGAGTCTGTTTCCTGGGGAGCTCAACTAACCTATAAGGGAGGTTCAGAGGTAAAGTAACGCAGTTTTGTTAAGGTGCAGAGCTGGGATTTGCACACAGGTCTGTCACTCCCCAACCTGGCTCTTTCCACACACATGGGTGTGCCCCATGGCCCCTCAAGTTCTGGATGAATTGCTTACAGGACCCGAGCAAATGTTGCTGTGACTGGCCAGTATGATGGGTGGATGAGGGGGCAGGAGCCATGTCGTAACCCCACAGGTGGAAGGAAAGGTGTCTATGTAAACTGGAGAAGGGCAGGATGCTTCCTCAAATTTCTAGGGACTGTCTTGAGGCCAAGGGAGAGATGAGCTCTTCTCAGCCTCCTAGGATAGAGCCCATCCATACAAGGAGGATTCAGGGAGGCAGGTGGGGTTCCAGAATGTTCTGTCAATGACAGCTATGCCTCAGTGAAGGAGGCCATCTGGAAGTGGGGAGTTCTCCATCACTAGAGGTGTACAAAGCCCTGTGGTTTCACCTTCTCTTGGGAATGCTCTTACAAGAGGTTTCCAAGGCAGAGAGGGGAAAGGGAGTTGAGACTAAGTAACCTGTGGTATGTTCTTCAAGCCTGCTTTGGGGCATCTAAGTGCAAGTCTAGCCTTGTCTCCACACTACCCCAAGACCCTTCCAGATCGTAATTGCCAAAACTAGAAATGATCAAATGTCCTTTGAGAGGAGAATGGATAAACTATGATACACACATACAGTGGGATACAACTTAGCAATAAAAATGAGCAAACAACTGAATCCCCAAAACATGCTGAGCCAAAGAAGCCAAATACAAAAGACTACATACTGTGTGGATGGGGCACCTTGGGCCAAGGTCAACAGCAGCCTAAAGGTAAAGGAAACTTTGACATTCTAGAATAATCTATGGTAAAATAAAGAACAGTGGTTGTTGCCTCTAGGGATAGGGTGGGGTTGGGGATTGACTGATGTGGAAATTTCTCTTTTATTTTTTTTGACAGATAGAAATTTCCTGTATATTGATAGGGGTCTGGGTTATACAGTTACATGCAGTGTCAAAAATCATTGAATAATAATCTCCTGGGCAGGACAGGCTGTGTTAGCTGGCTTGAGAGTCTCAGATGTAATATCAGCCTACCCCTACCGGCTCTGTGGTTCTGTGGGGGCAGGGCTCAGCAAAGGGACAATGGCCTCTGCTCGCCTTGATGCCAGACACTTCAGTTCCTCCCAGTATATTACTGGTGCCTTTCAAGCTGCTGTCCCCATGCTGGAGCTCAGAGGGAGTGAGTCTGACAGAGATGGGTGAGGAACGGAGTCGGAGCTCACAGGAAGACATGCCCTTCAAAGGCACCTGTCTTTCTTGATTCTGCTTCTTGAACAAGCCTGGCACTGCCTCACAGACCTTCCTCAGAGCCACTATCAGAAAAGCAAGCTTCTTGAGGCTGGACTCAGAAAAAAAGAAAAAGAAATAAAAGAAAACAAATCATGGAATAAAATTAATTGAGAGGTAAAAATTGTGCATTTCATGGTAACTGTTACGGGACAAAAAAATGCATTAAAAACTATGAAGCCCTTCCATGGCTGCCTGTCATGGTCACTAAGCTCCTTCCTTTCATGCTTAGCACACTGCAGGAGCTGCTGCCACGCTTCATCCCGGGCTCACTTCGCAGTCCCCCCACTCCCTGTCCCTGCACCCCAGCTATGCCTCTCAGCCTGCTCATCCTGGGACAGGCTCTACTTTGGCTCCTGTTGTTCCCTCTGCCCGAAATGTCCTTATTCCCCTTCTCCTCCTATTGACTCATACATAGCCTTTTTTCAAGGCTCAGATGTACGTTCCAGAGAAGCCTTCCCTCATGTCCCCCAGAGTGTCCTGAGCAGGCCTGGATTCAGGCGTCTGTTTAGTTTGTTTGGGCTGCTCTGGCAAAAACACCACATACTAGGTGGCTTGTAAAAAACAAACACTGGGGAGCATTTGAGACCTTGCTCCCCAGCCTATGTTGTCAGTTTGGCTCAAATACATTGATTAACAAATTTTTTTTAATTAACAATAAAAAAGCAAACATTTCTCACAGTGCTGGAGGCAGGAAGTTCAAGATCATGGCACCAGCAGATTTGGTGCCTGGTAAGGGCCCTCTCCCTGGTTCATAGCCCGTGGCTTTTGACTGTGTTCTCAGTAGTGGAATGATCTAGGGAGCCCTCGGGAGTCTCTTATTTTAGAAGGGTACTAATCTGATTCAGAAGAGCTCCGACCACAGGACCTACCTTCTAATACTGTCACCTTGGGGGTTAGCACTTCAGCATATGAATTTGGGGTGGGGGGCACAAACATTCAGACCATATCAGCTTCTTCCACGCCACTATGTGCTGTCCCAGTGGGCCATTCCTGCCATCCTATGGGCCTGAGCTCCTTGGGGCTCCCTTGTCTTCACCTCCATGTGGCAATGCCCCCACATGGCAATGCCGAGTACATTGTGGGGAAGACGTCAGAACCCTGTGGTATTAAGAGTTTCTTCCTGGAGGATGTGGGAAGGAGTTGTATTTACCCCCAGGCTGCCCTTGACCTCTGCCCAAGGTATCCCCTCCTCACTCAGTCATGGCAGGAATCTGAAAGGGTCTTCAGGGCAGGCCTCCTCAGTGTTCCCTGCAGGAGAAGTCCTCAGGGAAAGGAAGCCAGGCTGGGAGTAAGCAGGCTGTGCTGGGCCAGAGGCCCAGACCCATTCTCTGAGGTCCCAGCCTCTGAGTCTGTGTCCCCAGCTGGGAAATGGGATTGGGACTAGCCATGAGGTCAATGGCCTTGATGTCCTGCCAGGCCTTGTCCTGTAACATCATAGCTTTGTCCAGGTGGGTCTTAAGTAGTCTCTCTGTTTCCCCCTTTACTCTGTTCTCAGCAATAACCAGAGCTATCCTTTTACCATATAACTTCACTCAAAACCCTTCAGTGACTCCCATTTCACTCAGAGGAAAAGCCAATTCACATTGGCCTTCAAGGCTGTACCCACTGTAATTGCTGGTTGCCTCTATTATCTCCCCTCCCATCACGCTGAACCCTGCCTCTCACTCCCCAGCAACTGGCTTCCTTGCTGGACCTCAAGCACTCCAGGCATGCTACCTCATGGCCTTTGTACTGCCTGTTTCCTCTGTCTGGAACCTTCTTCTTCCAGATATTCACATGGCACACTCCCTCACCTCCTTCAAACTTGGTTCAAACATTAGCCTCTGAGGGAAAACTCTGCTGATTTACCATTACAACCCCCTCCCAGTCTCCATCACCCTGCTCAATGTTTTTTCCCTTAGCTTGTATCACCTTCTAACATACTGTTTAACAGTATGTTAGACCTATATTACACCTATCTTGTTTATTGTCTATTCCCCCCACCATCACCCCACTGGATTTAAGCTCCATCATGGAAGTCCATTCTTTGTTTTGCTCACCGATCTGTCTTAAAGGCCCAGAGCAATGCCTTATACTCAGCAGGTGTGGGGATGCTGAGGTGACCAGGCCCTGAGGAGGCCCCACTCCAGCTGCACGTGTTCAATCCAGGGCAAATGCCCCTGGGAACAGGGCTCCCATGCACTCACATGGCTGCTGTAAGTCCCGCAGCACTAGCCTGCCAGAGTAGTTGAAAGCTCAGAGGACCTAGGCCAGGCTTCTTTCAAGACCCTCCACCCTGCAGCCAGCAGACTTTCCTATCATCTTAGAGATGATAGGCCTGCTCCTTTCTGCCTCCCTGATCTCTAGCCCAGTAGTTGCTCAGTGCAGCCTTGAACTAGAACAACCTCCTACTTTACAGCTGGAGAAATGTAGGCCCAAGAGGGGAAAGGATTTTTGTAATTCTTGGCCAGAGTCAGGAATTGAACCTAGATTTCCTTTCTCCTAGTCCAGGGCTTTCCCCACCCATGGTGGAGGGGTGAAGAAAGAAGTCATATGCAGAAAACTGAGGACTCAGGGTACCCTAAGCCCAGCCTCTGCCCCTACTGCCAGCTCACCTACCAATATGCCAAGCCACAGAATGCTAGCTCTGCCAACTCACCCCTGTCCACAATGAGGAGGGTAGCCAAGGTTAGGGCAACCATGCACAGACGGACGGCCATGCTGCTCCTGAGCTGTCCTGGGCTCAGCTAGCTGCAGCCTGGGCCAGGGGGAGAATGGAGGCCTATTTATAGTGCTGATCCCTACCCTTATCTTATCTGGGACCAGATGGCGAGGCCAGGAGCATCGCCCAGAGGTAATCTCTGCACCCTGGCATCTGGAGGGAGCTTTCTCTCTGGGCAGAGATGCTGTGCTGTGGTGGGGTGGGACTATGGGGCTGGCAGATTTTCAAAGTGAGGAGGTGTTTGAACAATTGGCAAAGCTAATGCCAGTCTGAGGGCTGGAGCAAGAGGGAGAGGGAAATTGAAGTAGAAACAGAAAAACAGAAACCAAGTCAGAAGACAGAGAGAAAGAGAGAAAAGGCAGATCAGAAAGACAGAAAAAAAAAAAAAAGCAGCAACTGAAAGGTGGCAGGAGGCAGAGGAAAGGGGCTGCAGTGATGAAGTCCTTTCCTTGTGCCTCGCCCAACCCATTCTGTGACCTCAGAAAAGCTACTTTTTAAACTGGGCCTCAGGGTATCCAGGCAGAAAATGGGGGTGAAAATTCTGGCCCTGTCTGCCTCGTAGTGCTGCTGGGAGGATGAGAGTGGTGACTGTAGATGGGAAAATAGTTTGCAGAGTATGAAATGAGGTATAGAGGTAAACAGAAATGTTTTATTTCTTTTTGCTTTTCTCCCTTTTTTCATCATGAGGAAGGCACAACTGATAGAGGGGGAAAGGGCAACATAAAACATATTATAAGGAAAATGTCCTCATGATTTGCACACACTGTTTGTCCATTTGCATTTTAATGGACTAAATGCAAAAGAAGATTTTTCTTTTGAAGAAGAATCAATATCTAAAACTATACCATATTTATGTAATATATATGAATGAACTATTTGGTTGTCTGCTTTCAAAGAATTTCTGATTTATTAAAAGAGTAACAAAATTAGAGCCCTGGCTGGCATAGCTCAGTGGATTGAGCTCAGTGGATTGAGCTCGGGCTGCGAACCAAAGTGTTGCAGGTTCGATCCCAGTCAGGGCACATACCTGGGTTGCAGGCCATGACCCCCAGCAAACGCACATTGATGTTTCTCTCTCTCTTTCTCTTTCTCCAACCCTTCCCTCTCTAAAAATAAATAAATAAAATCTTTAAAAAAAAGAGTAACAAAATTAGATTTACATGTGTATTTCTCTAATTCATTTAGATCAGTGATTATCAGCTCCATTTGCAGATTTCACTTCCCAGGGAAGAATTTAGAACTACAGTAGCAGCGTTTCTCTCAAAAATATTTGAATAAAAATGTCAGTGTTTTTTTTAATCTTTTTATTAGCTGTGGTTGGGTAGCTCACTTGGTTAGAGCATCGTCCCAATGTGTCAAGGTTGGGAGCTAAATCCGTCATCGTCATCGTCATCAGGACACATCCAAGAATCAACCAGTGAATTTGTGAATAAGAATAACAAATTGATGTCTCTCTTGTCTCTCTCTCCCTTTTCCTCTGTCTCTCCCCACTTCTCTCTTTCTAAAGTCAATAATTAAAACAATAAAATAAAACCTTTTTATTTAGAAAGATTTCAAGCTTACAAATAAGTTGTGAGAATAGTTAAATGAGTCAATGGAAAGGATTCTTATTCAAGAATACCCCCTTTGGGAGCGCATCCCCCCGCCCCCACCAGCCAGGCATTCACCCCTGCACACCAATAGAGGCCCCAGGTCTGCAGCCCAGCCCAGCCCAGCCGGAGGTCCATGACTCAGCTTCGAGATCCTCCTGCCCCTCAGGAGCCTACATGGCCATCAGATGCCTCAGAGGCAGGTGGCAGCTGTCTTCCCATTAGTAGCCAGGCATAGCAAATATTTAATGATAATTTCCTGTCCTAAAGCAAGAACATTATCTGATAAAGAGAAGGGAACTTGAAAGGTCATCATGGTCCTGTCTCCTGTCTTTTACTCAGGTCTTCCTCTAGAGGCCCCACCAGGAAGTCACTCATCCTCCAGCCACGAGGAGCTCCCTACCTGCCAGTTGCATTGTTGGATGGCTTTGAACACAAGAGGTTGGCTTCCCTGAGACGCCATGCTTCTGGGATGCTGTGAGAGCCCAAGAGAGGCCCCTGATACATGCCAGACCCCAGGTGGCAGGCCTGGGTCAGAGTGTCTGGTGTGTCTCTGGCAAAGAGGCAAGGCTGCCTCCTTCTAGCCTGAGCCAAGCCCTCCCTTATTTTCCCCCTGCTCTGGCTTCTCTGGGGTGGAGAGAAATACAGGGAGAGAGTTCTTGATAGAAAGTGAGGTGATCTGGGGTCGTTCATTGCTTCAACAAATATTATTGTGTCTATTCTATTCTGTGAACTGTTCTAGCCACCAGAGATTCAGCTGTGAATAGGTCCCTGCCTTTAAGGAGCTTACATTCTAGTGACAGACAACAAATAAATATAAAGTAAACACATGAGCCCTGACCAGTGTGGCTCAGTGGACTGTTAGCCTGTGAACTGAAAGGTTACCAGCCCAATTCCCAGTCAGGGCACATGCCTGGGTTGCAGGCCAGGTCCCCAGTTGGGGGTGTGTCTCTCTCACACATTGATGATTCTCTTCCTTTCTCCCTCCCTTCCTCTCTCTAAAAATGAACAAGTAAAATCTTTTAAAATATTTAGGAAAAAATAAGATAAACACATATATAGTGTAGAAGAGAAATTAAGTGGTAGAAGGGGAGAACATGGCAAAAGGGGAGGAGGCGGCTCTTTGAGATAGTGACGCATGAGCAGGAAGGAGCAAGTCCTGCAGAGACCTGGGGGAGGAGTCTGCGTAGCCGAAGAACTGCAAGTGCAAAGGCCCTGGGATGGGAACAAGCCTGGCATGCTCAGGAAGCAAATATCAAAGAGTCTATTCTGTCTAGACTAGAGTGAACAAGGAATTGAATAGCAGGAGGTGAGGGCCAGCTCAGACTCAGGTCCCAGCCCAGCCACCAACTTGGGTGATCTGGGCGCATCGTTTCCCTCTCTGGGCCTGCCCATGTGCTCCCATCTGAGAAGTGGGCACACTGCTACACACCAACACCAGCCCGAGTCCCGGGGCAGCTGTGAGGGCTCGGGGAAGGAGGGTGTGACGTGAGATGTGCGCAGCCTCTGTGGTGCCAAGGAAGTGCCTTGATTTCCCAATCCTTCCTAGAAGTAGGCAGAGTGCTAGGATCAATACAGTAAGAACGGAGACGCCCTAAAGCTGGGCTGGAGCAGGAGAGCAGGTGATTCCTCCATCTCTGGCTCCACGTCAGAGTGAAGGATGGGACATATGAGCTGGCAAAGCCAACATTCCCCAGCCTCACCCAGTAGCCCTCATGCTGCCTGCTGAGACTTGGACTGGTGCCCACTTCTTCTGAGAAATACAGCTTCTCCTCGATAAGGATGATGCAGAATCCATTAGGTCTGAGTTATAAGCCCTACTGATAGGAGGAGGGAACAGTGGCCTTTTTTGGCTCAAACAGGCCTAGGTCTCCCAGGTGGCAGAGACAACATGGCCAGATTGCCCCTGGACTATGCCTGGCCCCTCAGCCCACATTCTGCTCCACCCTTCCTCTAGCCATATGTGTCCCCACCTGCCCATATGCTTGCTATGAGCAGCCCGGGTGTGGGCACCCACTCTGGGGAAGCCTGGTCTAGGCACAGCCAGTTCCACAGCCTGTGCTGTCCTGGGCTCCTCAGCCACCACACTCCATGCCCCAGTTCTGGATACTTCCTATTCTGCCTGGTCCAAGGCTGCAGGGCCCCATGATGGCAATGAGTGGAAGGGGCACCCCTCTAATCTGATAGCATCTATTTGTTTGGGATCTGACTACAAGGAGGACTCAGGGATGGAAAAGACTGAAGTCATTCCTCCAGGGGGATACCCACTCTGTTATTCAATGGACACTTATTGAGCTCCTACTGTTGGGTACCAGTCAGTGTGCCAGGTCCTGGGGGCCATAGAGATGAGTGAGAAACAGATCCCTGTGGTCAAGGAGCTTGCAGTTCACAGTGGTGGGGAGGAGGCATGGACACATGGACACTTGAACAGGTATTTATAAAATGCTGTGGATAGAGCAGTGATAGGAATTGTGATAGAGATGTTTATGGACACTCACAGATGCTTACTCAATATGTCCAAAAGTCAACTTACCCACCCAAAGATGCCCTACCTCCCAGTTCCCCGATCTGGGTGGACAGCACCACTATCACCCAGGTGCCCTGGGTATCACCCTGAACTTCTCCCATACTTCTTCGTTCAGGGCTCAGGACGTACTGATTTCACCTCTTCTCTGTCTCTCATATCCATCACCTCCTACATTGCTCTCTCCTTCCTTACCCTTATTGTCTCCCTGTCTAAGGTCTCACCACCTCAAATTCATCCTCCATTCCACTTCCAGAGCAATCTCTCTGAAATGCAAAAATAACTGATGATCCCTCTGCTTAATATTATTCAAGTGTTATATTATTGGTCAATTCCATTAAAATTATTCAATCTCTGTTGACTCAAGGATGAAAACCAAACTCCTTGGCATGGCATACACATTCCTCTATGACTCTGCCTTTGCTGGCCTCTCTAACTTCATCTCTGGCCACTTAACCCTTCACTCTATTAGACAGAACCACTCACCAGGACTTTGTGCCTCCCAGCCTTTGCTCGTGCTGCACCCTCTGCCTGGCATATCCCTCTATCACCTCCTTTGGGTTCTTTTCCTAAGACCTGAGCCCTCCCCATTTGGGGTCCCTCATCTGTACAGATATCTATCCTATCTGCACCTGTAATGCTCTGTGACTTTTTCTTGCTTATGTGAATATCTCCCACACTTCCTTAGAGAGAGAGAGTGAGAGGACATCTGATTCACCATGTAACCCCAGTACTCTGCAAAGGAACCGGCCCGCATGTGTTGACTATGCGAATACATCTTGTGCTGAATACAACTGTAGGACAGGAAGACACCCAACTCCAGATTCTCAGTCAGCTGGATTTGAGGACCAGGCAGGGCTTCAGCTGGCCCAGTAGGTCCAGTCACCGCTTAGTCTATGTATGCTGTGTCCATATGAGAACAGAGGCTGCACTCTATTCCA